TTCTTTGATCATCAAAGATGAGATTGTGACCCCCCAAATGTGTGTCAACTTGGCCATAATTTTCAGTGGTTTGGCAGCTATGTACTGATCATATATAATTTGGTGGTGATGTAACGATATGATCGCTCTCTGTGATACAACCTGATGTGATCGGTTAAATCATCTGTAAGAGATTAGGGTGGGATGCTACTCAGGTCACAGCTCCGATCTGATTAACGGCAATTTTCCTGGGGTGTGACCTGCATCACCTTTCATCTACAAGAGATAAAGGAGAGTTAAGTCCAGCAAAGAGCTAGGGAACTCAGTATCACCAGGAAAGAGAAGCAGTAGTGGAATGTGTCCTTTGGACCAGAAGTCCATGTGCTGAGCACCTCCTAGGCCCAGGCAAAGACTGCTGCCAAGACACATGAAGATCTCCATGGAATGCCAGGCCAACAGTTGTTACATGGAGACAACAGAGAGTGACAGTCTGCCCATAGAATTGCATTGTGGTATTTCTGTTATCACAGCATTCTAGAAGTAGAGCAGAATTGGTACCAGAGTGTGGGGTGCTGCTTTAATTGATGCATAATTGTGGAAGCAATTTGAACATTGGGTAATGAGTAGAGGCTGGAAGGGGTGTATGATAGTAAAAGACTAGATTACCTTCAAGAGACTATTGGTGGAATTAAGGACATCAAACACAATTTTAATCAGGGCTCGGAAGGAAATGAGGAGAGCAATACACTGGGGAAAGACAGAGGGAGGAGCAGTGGCAGAAAAATGGCAGTACCAGAACAAGGGGACAGGTAGAAGATGGCATGGAAGCTGGCCCATGACACAGGACAGCTGAGTGCTTTGAGGAAAGAAGCTTCCTGGCAGAGTGGAGTGCCACTTGATGGTGAAGTTTGGCTTGCTGATCTGGGGAGTGAGACAGCTGAATACTGTATGGTGGAGTGGGTGCTTCTGGGCACTATCAGTAGAGCTACAGAGCTCTGTAGCCCTTGCCCAAGTAGGGCGAGGCCAAGCTTGCCCAGGAAGCCAAAGGGACAAGAGGCCAATGAATAGGAAGCAGAAGAGTCACCCTTTAATTTCTCTTCTGAAGAAACAGTAATTGGCACAACAGGACTCTTTCCTCTGGCTGAAAAGAGTTTTAAACCCGCGTTAACTCACTGCAAGGCACTAAGGGCAGCCCTGCCTCAGTCAACAGCAAGACATCAGAACATCAGAAACCTGAGATTAGGGTCTTGTTCCTCCAATTAGATTCCTAGGAGGAAGAAACAACATTTTAAAGTACTGCTAAGAAGAATCCACTCAAAACACCAAACTCACTGTTATCTAGCCGACTCCTACTCATACCTCCCTATAGACCAGGGTAGAACTACTCCTGTGGTTTTTGGAGACTGTAAATCCTACAGGAGCAGAAAGCCTTATCGTTTTCCTGTGAAGTGTCTGGCAGTTTTGAACTTCTGAACTTGCAGTTAGTAGTCCAAAGCACAACCCACTACACAACCAAAACTCCCACAGGAAGACTAAAAAGGCCTTACTAACTCTGTTTAGGAAAATCCCATTAAAAAGCTACCCAAACAATAGGGGCTCACGTCTAGCCTACCTAAAATCAACCAATAAATTCCTTAAAGCGAAAGCCCTTCCTTATTGAGTCAACTTAATAAATACATAATGACAAACAACTGCCTTTAGCAAATCTATCAGACTTAGAAGAGCTGAATGTTCTTTATGGTATTGTGAGTGGCCGGTTATCACAACAAATGACAAATCAGAGAGGATGAAACAAATATAAAATCTGTATAATTTTCTATTTTACCTATAGCACATTCTTACAATAAAATAAGTGAAACAATATCAAAAGGTGGCAAATAGTACTGATGTTTTGGCTGGCAGTAAGACCAGGTTTGGAACCTTCTCTTTGGCCCTTACTACCTCAGTTTACCGGCTAGAAGGCACATTTCACTCAACCCATGCTCACCCAGTAGGTTAGCTCTGCAGAACCATTGCCGTTTTCTAAAGATGTCCTTAATCTGAACACCACGCCTATTTTCACAAAGTACCATGGACACTGCCAGGAATGGGCTATTTGGCCTATGCACACACCATCTGATTAGAAACTGGCAAATATCTGTGTTTACTGTAGAACGTTTATTCTACTGATGTTGTGTGAATCTTCAAGTCAATGTCAACTCTGTAGAGACCACATAAAATAAAATGTCTGCTTCACAGGGCTGTTTCATGCTGTGATCTTCATAGAAACAGGTCTTTCTCCGATGGAATCTTGGAGAGGGTTTAAAATGCCAAAGCTGAGTGCTTAACCATTGCACCACTAAGGCTCCTTAAGAAGGGCCTGTTGCTGCTGCTGTGTGCTGACTCTATAAATCTTAATTCGTCTCTAGGGCAGATAATCAGATCTTTTTGCCCAAGGAGCAGCTGGTGGGTTTGAACCACCACCTTTTCAGTTGGCAGGTGAGCATTATAATCATTGTGCCACAGTGCTCTTTAAAAGGAGCATACTATGTAAAAAATTCCCTACACTTGCAAAGCAAAGCACTGCATCACAGGCCTACATTCTAGAAACTACATTAAAAAATAAAACTATCCTCTCTCACAGAGCATCCATCCCAATAAAAGCATAACTAAAGATTCCAAAAGTCCTTGATAATTGATGCTAAGTACCACTCTTTACAGGAAAACCTCTTTCTAAGTTCTATATTGCTTTTAAATCCATTCAGATGTTTATGGAAAATGACCCATATAAACAGTAATGGACAGTGTCTTATACACCATTATATAGCACTGAGACTCACAAAACTCCCTCGTGAATGCAAAATCACCACAACCTTAATTTTTGATAGTAATCGCCTTCCCACTTGTGGCCCAGGACACTAAGGCTAGAGTAAGCTAGTGGCCATTTAATGAATATCCATGGTTCTAAAGGTGTCAGAAAGGAGGCAGGCTCTCCTGTCCTCTTCTCTTCTCCTCAATTAAGACCACCCATCTGGTTGGGAAGCAACCCTTGCAGCTGTGTGGCCTTTCCTCAGCTTCCCCTACCTACTTCCCTCTGAGGATTAGGACCAGCACAACATGGAGGTGCCCAAGAAAGAAACCACCCAACAAGTCTATACCCACACCAAACAAATAATTTCCCAACTCTTCTCGGCTGAGTAAGGGAAGGGCTTCTAGAGCTGGATTTAAATGGAAAACGACTGCCTGCACATAGTAATCAGTGGTTAAATAAAGTCTGACATGCTGGAGCTCTATGGAACATCCTCAGTCCTCTCTCCTTCCCTCCCCCCTTTCTGTCTCAACACCCCACCCCTTATTTCTCTCTTAGTTTTTAAAGGCAGAATTTGTCTTGATAGACTGAAACACAGGGAATAAAAAATAATATGCAGTGTCATTTTTTTTTAAAATAACACAGGGGAAAACACAGCTGGCTCACAGCTGAGATTTTTAAGCAAACAGTGATCTATTTATACCTAGGCTATAATCCCACCTGTTTTTCTGGCAAGCCACTTTTCTCTCTAGCCTTATTTTCCTAGTGTATAAATTGGGGCGGTTCAAGAGTTGAGATCTTTCAATACCAACACTTAAAGAGCTTGTATCCAGAGAGAAGTATAAATTTGAAGATTTAAACTCCAGGTTCCTAAACAGTTATGTGTTACATTACATGTAAAGTAGCAAAACAGCCTTGAAGATGCATAGAACATGTTGCTATAGGCTGCCTTCAATCCATAGCAATCCCTACGACAAAAGAACTGCCCTGTGGGTTCCCTAGGCTTTGAACTTCACAGAAGAATACGAGGTCTTCCTCCTGTGGCACCACCACTGGGAGGGTTCACACTGCCAATCTATCAGTTGGCAACTGAGTGGTGCTGGGCCTCCTAGGAAAGAGCATATATAAAATTTATTTTAAAAAGGAAACCTCAAGCCTCGTCATGTGATTTAAGAGGAAGTCAATCATAACAAGTCTGCAGTTTAATGTAATACATCATCTTTGCATCCTTTGGCTATATTTTAAACTATTGATGAACTTAACAATTGAATCATTGTTTTCAAAAGGATGGTTAGACTTCTAGTAATTTTATTTTTATATAGTTATGCTGAAACAAATTTTATAAAGGTTTAAACGACAGATGGGAGTACGCATTCAGATACAGAGAAACCTTGGTGTCTGTTCTTCGTTTACCACCAACTATGCTCTGATACTACAAAGTTTAATGAAATCCTTTATTGTTCTCATTTGGGTTAGCTTGTTTTATATTAAATGAAAGCTAGCGGTTCTCATAGTTATAGAAGCTAGATAAATTTTTAAACATTTTAATCACCTCTTTCAAAATGAATGTAAGTGAAAGCAGTTTGCAGATTGTTTCTTTTAGAGTAAGTCACCTCTCCCTCTACCCAACCCTATCCTAAAATAGAAAATCCACTTAGATATCACAAGCACAAACACATTATTTTCTAAAAGGAGATGACTTGGATTTTGTCAAGGACAATAAACAGATAGATTTCACCCCCAAGCAACAGCTCAAACTGCCCGTTGTGTTAAAATTCACGGTGTTTTCGGAATTAATGTTTACCCCACAAAACACAACAGCTTCTACACTGTATCAGAGATTCCCAGGAAAATCTTAAGAAGTGATATTTTACTTCTGAGTGTCATATTTCTGAAAGCTAGTGGTAGGTAATGGAACTTAAAAGGAAAACATATTTTAAAGTCTAATTTGTTTTGGATTCTAAGCCAGGAGAGATCGTTTGAAAGGAATGAAAATGAGATTTAAATGTCCTCAGAATCCAGAGGGAAATGTGGTATCAGCTTAATATTTGGCACATAGCTAGCTAGCACATAAGTGAGCTAGCTAGCACTGTAACTGGAGTTACAGAAAAATAACATACGCTTCAACTGGAATGAAGACAGGGCAACAACACAAGCATGGACTGAGCGCAAATTAGTACTACTAACAATCACAGGAACAAGCTGGTGCCCAAGCCCCACAGCTCCGTCTTACCTCCAGCAGAGGTCTGGCGCTGTCATGGACCGACAGAATATGTGTCACCTTGTTTTTACTCAATTGCTCTGCATCTCTGGCATCTGTCATAACAGAGAGAAAGTGAACACTTCAACATTACTCTACTAATTAATTACTCCTCAAATTAAACCAGGAAACAACACAAGATGACTTGCCTATTTCTTTCTTGAAATTTCACAATTGATCCTACTCAGCATAATCAGACTTAGGGAATTTAGGGCTATAGATTTTATGTTATGAAAATAAGATTCATTTTTAATAGGCACACATTTAAAACCAAAGGGGTTATCTTAAACTCAAAATGTACTTAGATGAATAAACACTGTAATCATGGTAGCTACCGTTTAGAGGAAATGAACTTCAAAGGTCGTTTTGTTGTTGGAATTTGTAAATTGTGGACATTTAAGGTTCTACCTCCAGAGAAAACCAAGTATTGCCACACCCTCCTGAACTCAAACCTTCAGCGCATCAGACCCAGTGTGCCTGTAGTGCACTTGGGCAAGCTTGGTAAAATGGACACAAAGGCAATTGTGTAATTATGTTCCTGAAGAATATTTACAGGCATGGGGAAAATGCTCAAGATAAAAGGTTGACTGGGGGGAGAAGAAGGAACCTGGTGGCATAGTAGTTACTGGTTGGGCTGCTAACCACTAGGTCAGCAGTTCCAAACCACCAGCAGCTCTAAGAGACAAAGACAGCTTCCTACTTTGCAAAGAATTAGTCTCAGAAACTCACAGGGCAATTCTTCTCTGTCCTATATAGTCACTGAGTCGGCATCAGCTCAATGACAAGTGATTTTGTTTGTTTGTTTTGAAGAGGGGGGAAGCAAGTATAAAACTATAAATAAAATATGGGCTCACATTTGTAAACACACACACACACACACACACACACACACACACACACACACACACCCCAAATGCTATATGGACTTAGAACCCACCAGGCAATATTTATCTTTGACAAATGGGTTACAAGTGGTTTTTATTATCTTCTATAAAGATAGGGTGTGTGTGTTTCTCTTTACATGAGTGATTCTAAAGTTTAACAAGCTTATGAGGTCTCTTAAGAAAGGCAGAGTTCCAAAACCCAACTTAGATAGAGGGCCAATGGCAGGGCTGAGGAATCTGCAGTTTTAGCAAGTCTCGATGATCAATGTAGAAACTAAGGAACACTGTTTTAGACATCCTATAATAAGCATTCTTCAAGTCAGAAAGAAACTCTTAGTTGGTTTTATCTTAAGCCTCTCTCTCTATAGCTCCAGCCGTCTCAAACTTCACATTCAGAAGTGCACCTCAGCTACGTTACACACTGGAACACAATCCCAGCTAGTCTGTGCCCCAGTCTCCACCCAGCAGAGAATGAGGAGTCGGCACAGTTGGCTTTGAATCGGGATCCCACAAGCAGCAGATTCTCACCAAAACGATAGACATGACAATAATGAACTGTCCGTCATGGCTCTAAAGCTCACCAGAGACATCACCAACTTGCTAGACATACTGCAAAAAAAAAAGTTTATAGTTCAAGCAAGTCCTTTCTAGAGACAAAACCACAGGGAATTCCGTGGGGTCTACATAGTAGCAGTATCTCCAATCACGGGGAATACTCTAGAAATGAAAATCCTCAGGCCCTGCAAGCCCCACACATCCAAACCTACACTTTACAGGTTCCCAGAAGAAGTGTGGATCAAGTCCAGGGGAGCCTTGAGGGACGGGCCAAAGTCCTATGACAAGGAGTCACTGGTGCTCCCCTCGCTGTAGAATTTCAATGCAATTTCAAAGACAGAAAATTATTCACAATCACTTACAAGAAGAAAGTCAACAAGTCAGTAACAATAACCCACTGGGAAGAATGCAGAATTCTCATAGAAAAACAAATCTGACCTATAAATAAAATATGGTCAAAATAAGAAAAACACATGGACCTCTGAACTATAGCTATCTCAGAAGGTGGGGTCATAAGAAATTTTCAATCTCAAACATATTCCTATGTGTCTGGATGTTTTGCTTGAGTGTTCTTTACCCCTCTTCAGTAAAAAAGAAAACTACACTTCTTTTATAATCAGGAAAAGCAAGATTTTTCAAAAAATGTAACGAAATTCAATATAAACAAAACTCCAAAACTTACAGTCATCAAGTCAACTCTGACTCAAAGTGACCCTCTGGGGACCACAGAGATGAGGCTTTCTACTTCTATAAAGCGTTAGTCTTAGAAACCCACAGAGGCAGGTCTACTCTGCCCTACCGGGTCACTATGAGTCACTGTAAGTAAAGTCACCAGAAAATCCCTTACTGGTAAAGTCTGCTATGTTCTTTTCTCCTCTCTGCTGGCATCTCTCCTATACCTGGCCTTCAGGCCCCCTCCATTTCCCTTTAACAGCTAAGGCCCCACTAAACTTCTACAAATAGCACTAAAATAAAAATGTCCACCTCATCCTTTCCCACTGGTGCTGAACATTCCAACCCTGGTTCCAAGAACCACCAGGTCCTGGTGATGCCTTGCTCATTGAATCCAGTTCACAGGGGTTGCTAAATAAATAGGACAGGATGGCTACCTGAATGGTAAAAAAACATGCAAGTCTCTTCAGGGAGAATGTATTAGTCTGGGTACATTAGAGAAACAAATCCCCAGAAACTCATATGTATAAGAGAGAGTTTTACATAAAGGGTAAGTGTTCATAAAGAAAGCATCCCAACCCAGTGCTGCCCAAGCCCTTAAGTCCAACATTAGCCCATATGTTCGATACTACAAAGTCCTCCTCAATCTCATAAAATACACGCAACGATGCCAACTGCAGGAGGAAAGCCGAATCAGTGAGTGTATAAGCATCTCAGAGCTGGCAGGGGTCTCCACATGGCTGCTCCAGCACCCAGGGCTGCATTGGGGTAGGTCCACGTGGCTTCTCCTTCGGGATGTCTAGCAGGAAGTGAGCCTTGCCAATGGAAGCAGGGAGCTGGCTAAGGCAGCTGCACCCTGGTCTGACCATCAGAGAGCAAGAGACCGGAGAACTAGAAAGGCGAGGCTTACCGAGCTATTTATCTCTCTGCTTCAACTAACCCCACATGTGCTTATCGGCCAGGTTGGCACAATAAACTTTAACTATCTCAGAGAAGTAGCTGAAAGGGGCCTTGAGAAGTATGCCAGAGTGGCCTTGAGAAATAAGCTAGTTAAGCAAAAGTCAAGTAGAATTGCCTCTGAGTAACAGGAACACAAGACATACTCAACACAACTGACACTCTCTACATGTGCTCTAGGTAAAGAACCACTGGGCAGAAAAGGCTTTCTTTTGAAGTGCCTTTCAATAATACCCAGATTCAGGGGCTTCAGGATGCGGGAGAGAAAAAAGGAGAAAGGGTGAAAGGGTGGAAGGGTGGAAGGGTGGAAGGGAGGGAGGGAGGGAGGGAGAGGGAAATTTAAAGAGACTAAACTCATTCAACACAGAACCTGCAACCCTCAAGTCATGCTGAGTAATTTCCCAAATAATTTTTATCTCCAACTTGACAATGTGATAGGCAAGATTTTGGTCTGTTTTACAGTTATATGCCCCACTGAGGAATTATTGTAATGGCTTCTGGGGTTTCAATTTTCATAAATAATAATAACTTCTAGAATTATACATTGCTAATGGGTCCATCTTCAAGCATATTTCCACCTGGACTGGGACTCTGAAATGGTGGGGGATGGGTGGGTGGGAGTGGCATCTACCCTCTTCTTTATCTGATGGTGAAATGCAGATAAGGGAAGCCTGGCCACCCAGGTCAAGTCCCGGCTTGGATGCTGACCCCAAACAAGTTTTCTTAAGGCTCATTTTCTCATCTGTAAGCGGTAAAATGGTCCTGACTAGCCACCTTGAAGGGTTGCTGTACAATCAAATTCCATGAACAGCTTAGAACAGTGCCTTCAAGTACCCATTCACTGTTGTCTTTAATGCCATTGTTGTCATCATTACTACTGCCCAAATACAAGGCTGGCCTTGGATCGCAGCCCCTTTGCTTCTAAGTCTTTCAAAATCTACATTTTCTTCAGAGAATCCTGCTCTGTTCTACTTGAGTTTCATAGTTTGCAACCATGGCCCCTGGTCTAAACTAAACCCAATTTGCCAGGCTCACCATGTCTCAGTGACCAGTGAATTCCTCTCATCTTGCAGACCCAAATGAGCCACCTGGAAACTCCAGCCACACGGAGAATGCTTACATTTGCTTCCCACTTTTCTAAATGTTGTGGGCATCTTCAAATAATAAGGGCTTCCTCTGTCACAGGGCAGCCCATGTGGTGTGTGTGCCCAGCTGGGAGAAAGCAGCTGACCATATCTCTGGGCCTCCCTTTTCCATCCTGTCTCACTGTAGGCTTGCTAGCAGATG